TAAGACAGTTTACTATAGTAAAGTCATTTCCTTAAACACTTTACTATATATAGTGTCTAAGTAAATTGTTTTCTTAACACAGTTTACTATATTAAAGCATTTTCCTAACACATTTTACTATAGTAAATGGTTTCCTAAGATAGTTTACTATAGTAAAGATTCTTCCTAAAACAGTTTAAGGTAAAAGTTTATTCCATGATAGTTTACTATAGTAAAGTATTCCAATAAGACTGTTTTCCCTAGTTAGCTGCCACCTTAAGACAGTTTACTATGGTAAAGTCACTTCCTTAACAACTTTGCTATATACGGTATCTTCCTAACACCTTTTACTATAGCAAAATGTTTCCTAAGACAGTTTTCCATAGTAAACTGTCACCATAAGATAGATTACTATAGTAAAGTAGCTTTCTTAAACAGTTTACTATAGAAAGTGTCTTCCTGAAAGAGTTTACTATAGTAAAGAGTTTTTCATGGCAGTTAATTGTTGCAAAATGTGTTCTTAAGGCATTTTACTATAGCAAAGTATATTTTAAGACAGCTTACTATAGTAAAGTGTTTCTTAAGTCCACATTGCAATAGTAAAATGTCTTCTAAAAACTATTTACTATGGTAAAGACTTTATTTAGATGATTTGTAATAGCAAAATGTCTTTATATAATTTTTTACTATAGTAAACTGTTTGCTAAGACAGTTTACTATAGTAAGGTGTTTCCTAAGACATTTTACTGTAGTAAAGTGTTTCTCAAAACATATTGCAATAGTAGTAGATTTTCATAAAACAGTTTACTATAGTAATATGTTTTGCTAAGACAATTTACTATAGTAAAGAGTCTTCCTAAGATAGTTTACCATAGTAAAATGTATTTTGAAACTGTTTACTGTAGTAAAGTATCATCATAAGACAGTTTACTATAGAAAACTGTTGTATTAACTTTAATTTAGCAAATAGTTTTCCTATGACAGTTTACTAAAGTAAAATTACTTTATAAACTGTTTACTATACCAAAAGTGTCTTCCTAAAACAGTTTACAATAGTAAAATCTCTATAAAAACAGTTTACTATGGTAAAGTATCTTCCTATGACTGTTTATTGTAGTAAAATAATTCCGCATCATTTAACCTCCATAATAAATCCTTTTTTAACAGACCCAAAACTATAATTTCTCTATTATTTCATCACCAGGTAGTTTAACCTTACCTTACTAACGACTTCTTCGACAATTTTGTTTTTATTGCAATTTCAATTTAATTTGGAAAAAAAAGCTCATTATTAACGTATTTGTTTTATGTTCTATAATAAATAAAAATTCATTTATATTACAATGTTTTATTATAATTTCTGCACAATTTTGCCCTAAAAATTTCGTAGTTTATGAAATATTACCACAGCAATAAAAGTTTGTTTTTTTATACGTTCATACTTTATAAGTTATTTTTTTTTAGACATACACCCCAAATATAAAGTCAATTTATTTTCCCAAAAAACAAACTTAAAAAGAACCGAAAAAAATTATTATTTATACAGTTTTTTTTTTTTTTTTGTTAAAGATGAAATTATATTCTAGGAATTTTGGTACTTAATATGTATACATATAAGTATGTATGTAATAAAAATGAGAAAAACAACAAAAATAAAATTAATGACTTTTTATAACTATGATACATGGCAGACTAGAGTATAAATTGAACTAGACTTTAGCAGTAAAAGTATAAATTTTTACCCAAAAAAAAATTAATATAAATTCAACCACAACATATTTAGGAAAGAGTATATGTATGTGGAAAACATTAAAGAAGCTATTAACATTAAAATTGTTGGCCTTATTTAAGTCTAGTCCTTTTATATAAAGAGAAAGAAAGGAATTCGTTTTTCGAATGTTATAAAGCTATAAAGTTATGAAGTTATAAAGTTATAAAGTTATAAAGTTATAAAGTTATAAAGTTATAAAGTTATAAAGTTATAAAGTTATAAAGTTATAAAGTTGTAAAGTTATAAAGTTATAAAGTTATAAAGTTATAAAGTTATAAAATTATAAAGTTATAAAGTTATAAAGTTATAAAGTTATAAAGTTATAAAGTTATAAAGTTATAAAGTTATAAAGTTATAAAGTTATAAAGTTATAAAGTTATAAAGTTATAAATTTATAAAGTTATAAAGTTATATAGTTATAAAGTTATATGGTTATAAAGTTATAAAGTTATAAAGTTATAAAGTTATAAAGTTATAAAGTTATAAAGTTATAAAGTTATAAAGTTATAAAGTTACAAAGTTATAAAGTTATAAAGTTATATGGCTATAAAGTTATAAAGTTACAAAGTTATAAAGTTATAAAATTATAAAGTTATAAAGTTATAATGTTATAAAGTTATAAAGCTATAAATTTATAAAGTTATAAAGTTATAAAGTTATAAAGTTATAAAATTATAAAATTATAAAGTTATAAAGTTATAATGTTATAAAGTTATCCAATTATCCAGTTTTCCAGTTATCAAGTTATAAAGTCATTTACAAAAAATGTTTTTATAAAATTCTTTTATTTTCAAATCACTATTAAATTTTTTACATTTTTACACACTTTTTTTTTTTGTTTTAAATATTTTTTATTATTTTTTAAAAAATTTGTCTAAGAGTAAATTTTTTTTATGTTTAAAAGTTTTAAAAATTTATTTGTTATATTTTTTAAGGATTTTTGTTGGCAAACATAAAAAACTTCTTTCTAATATTTTTACCCAAATAAATTTTACTCAGGGGCTTATAAATAGTAGACTTTAGAAAAAAATACTTTTCCTTATATGCTGTATATTAAATTAAGCTGTAGGAGTTTTGCCAGTAGTTTTGTGTTATTTTTCAAATTGTTATAAAAAACTAAAAAATATATTTTTTTTTTACTTATATGTTTTCTACTATAGTTTTTTTGTTTTCTTTCCACAAGAATTATTGTATTATTTGTATGTATTTTGCAACAGATAAAATTCTAACATATAAAGTTTCGACAAAAGTTTTGCTCTCCAACTTGTTACTGTAAGTAGTTTTGTGCAATAAACAACTAATGTTAAAAGGAATTTAGTTAAGTAAATGGTATTTTATAAAAATTTTATTTAAAATATGAATTGTTAAAGAATTTTTTAAAGTTCAAGTTTTAAACCAGAGAGATTTTAATTACTGAAGGTAATTTACAAAGAAGATTTTTAAACTGTTAAATTTTGAAGTAATCTGGGAAAAATGTATAATTATATAAAATTTGGGTAATTTTTCAATCTGAATCGTAAACAATGTAGTAATTTCCATACTTATAAGGAAGAAGGGCCGGAACTGAACTAGAACTGAAGTAGAACTGAACTAGAACTGAACTAGAACTGAACTAGAACTGAACTAGAACTGAACTAGAACTGAACTAGAACTGAACTAGAACTGAACTAGAACTGAACTAGAACTAGAACTGAACTAGAACTGAACTAGAACTGAACTAGAACTGAACTAGAACTGAACTAGAACTGAACTAGAACTGAACTAGAACTGAACTAGAACATGAACTAGAACTGAACTAGAACTGAACTAGAACTGAACTAGAACTGAACTAGAACTGAACTAGAACTGAACTAGAACTGAACTAGAACTGAACTAGAACTGAACTAGAACTGAACTAGAACTGAACTAGAACTGAACTAGAACTGAACTAGAACTGAACTAGAACTGAACTAGAACTGAACTAGACTGAACTAGAACTGAACTAGAACTGAACTAGAACTGAACTAGAACTGAACTAGAACTGAACTAGAACTGAACTAGAACTGAACTAGAACTGAACTAGAACTGAACTAGAACTGAACTAGAACTGAACTAGAACTGAACTAGAACTGAACTAGAACTGAACTAGAACTGAACTAGAACTGAACTAGAACTGAACTAGAACTGAACTAGAACTGAACTAGAACTGAACTAGAACTGAACTAGAACTGAACTAGAACTGAACTAGAACTGAACTAGAACTGAACTAGAACTGAACTAGAACTGAACTAGAACTGAACTAGAACTGAACTAGAACTGAACTAGAACTGAACTAGAACTGAACTAGAACTGAACTAGAACTGAACTAGAACTGAACTAGAACTGAACTAGAACTGAACTAGAACTGAACTAGAACTGAACTAGAACTGAACTAGAACTGAACTAGAACTGAACTAGAACTGAACTAGAACTGAACTAGAACTGAACTAGAACTGAACTAGAACTGAACTAGAACTGAACTAGAACTGAACTAGAACTGAACTAGAACTGAACTAGAACTGAACTAGAACTGAACTAGAACTGAACTAGAACTGAACTAGAACTGAACTAGAACTGAACTAGAACTGAACTAGAACTGAACTAGAATAGAACTAGAACTGAACTAGACTAGAACTAGAACTAGAAACTGAACTAGAACTAGAACTGAACTAGAACTGAACTAGAACTGAACTAGAACTGAACTAGAACTGAAACTAGAACTGAACTAGAACTGAACTAGAACTGAACTAGAACTGAACTAGAACTGAACTAGAACTGAACTAGAACTGAACTAGAACTGAACTAGAACTGAACTAGAACTGAACTAGAACTGAACTAGAACTGAACTAGAACTGAACTAGAACTGAACTAGAACTGAACTAGAACTGAACTAGAACTGAACTAGAACTGAACTAGAACTGAACTAGAACTGAACTAGAACTGAACTAGAACTGAACTAGACTAGAACTAGAACTGAACTAGAACTGAACTAGAACTGAACTAGAACTGAACTAGAACTGAACTAGAACTGAACTAGAACTGAACTAGAACTGAACTAGAACTGAATTAGAACTGAACTAGAACTGAACTAGAACTGAACTAGAACTGAACTAGAACTGAACTAGAACTGAACTAGAACTGAACTAGAACTAAACTAGAACTGAATCGGAAACGAACTAGATCTAAATTAAAAAAACTATTAATAATAAAAAATTTTTATGATGCCACTTACCTTTAACTCCTTGTAATGAGATCGTTATCAGCAATGTTAGATAAAAACTTAAAAATATTCCATTATTAACTCTCAGATTCAGCATTCTTTGTACATCGATATTAAACCAGGACTGTCGTTGATGTATTATTGTACTACTTAGATGATAACTGTGATGATGTGAGCGGGGTTGGCAGCTCTTAGTACAAGAACTGCTTAGCGAGGATGTCATATTTATAACATTTTCCTTAACACATGTATTAAACATAAAATGTCAATATTATTTTTTTGTTGTATTTGACAAGAAAAAGACAAATTTTCCGTGTAGTATATTTAGTGGCAGTTATGTTTATAGTTAAAAAATTGCATACTTTTAGGCGGGTAAGGGAGTAAAAGTTTATGCTGCTTTCATGTTTTGCACTCAATTCAAAACACGATGCTTAAAAAATTTTATTACTTCTTTTACTTTTTTAATAGAGAGAAGTTTTCTTGCTTTTTCTTTGTTTTGTTTTGTATTGTATATTATTTTGTTGTGTTGCAAGGAAACTATAACATTGAGTGTCAAGTACAATGCTATTGCTATTTGGAAATGTAATATAACCTTGCACTTGATCCTTTAACACCAACAAAAAAACAACAACAGCTATGTCGTTGTCGTTTTTCCTTTAGAGCTCCACTAAAAAGTGGCAAAAGGAATTCTTAGTCCTTGTTTTTCTCAAGTGCTTTAGCGACACCACGTAGTAGTTGGATACTTCTCGTCGTCGCCTTTTTCTATTTTCTCTCTCTATATGTCTCGTAGAGAATGTCTGTGCACTTAGGAAACGATGTTGAAATTGTTAAGTGTTCCCCTCCAGCTGCCAAAGTATATACTGTTTGTCGTAGAAGTGCAAAACCAACAAAAAGGACATTCACCATAAAATGCTTAAAGTTGAAGTTTTTATGAGCGTCTTGTTACGTTCAGGGCAATTTATCACTTGCTACTACTGTGTTTTTATTTTATCCTTTTCTTTTTGTATAGCAACGAAAAAAAGTTTATTTTTTTTATTTTTCTTTCCCAAAAATTATAGTTTTCTTATTTTTTTCTGTTACACAATAATGTTGCTCTATTTGTTATTTAGTTGTTATTATTTATGTTTTTTGCATTTATATGTTTGTAGAAAACTAATATTAAGTTGTAAAAAATCGTGTATATATTCCTGGCATGGGTGTCTGTCTGTCTTGCTTTCTTCAATAGAAATGTTGGCAAATATTGTCACGTTGACGCTTGCAGCTTTAGTGTTGTACGTGTTCAAATTTAGTTGCAACAATTATTGTTTTTTTATGAATATTTCATTTCAAAATAAAAGCTGTAAAGATAAGAAAAAACATTAAAAAATTAATATTTTTTATGAAAGAATTGTTAATTTAATAAATATGAATTTGTAAATCTGGTAATTTTAACAGAAAAACAGTTAAAGTTAAATTTTGATAAATATTTTATTTTATAATAACTTTAAAATTTTATAGACTAGATTGTAGAATAGACTTTAGATTAGACTACATACTAGACTATATACTATAGACTACACTACAGACTTGACTAAAGACTAGACTATAGACTAGACTATAGACTAGACTATAGACTAGACTATAGACCAGACTATAGACTAGACTATAGACTAGACTATAGACTAGACTATAGACTAGACTATAGACTAGACTATAGACTAGACTATAGACTAGACTATAGACTAGACTATAGACTAGACTATAGACTAGACTATAGACTAGACTATAGACTAGACTATAGACTAGACTATAGACTAGACTATAGACTAGACTATAGACTAGACTATAGACTAGACTATAGACTAGACTATAGACTAGACTATAGACTAGACTATAGACTAGACTAGACTATAGACTAGACTATAGACTAGACTATAGACTATAGACTAGACTATAGACTAGACTATAGACTAGACTATAGACTAGACTATAGACTATACTATAGACTAGACTATAGACTGGACTATAGACTATACTATAGACTAGACTATAGACTATAGACTAGACTATAGACTAGACTATAGACTAGACTATAGACTAGACTATAGACTAGACTATAGACTAGACTATAGACTAGACTAGACTATAGACTAGACTATAGACTAGACTATAGACTAGACTATAGACTAGACTATAGACTAGACTATAGACTAGACTAGACTATAGACTAGACTATAGACTAGACTACAGACTAGACTATAGACTAGACTATAGACTAGACTATAGACTAGGCTATAGACTAGGTTATAGACTAGACTTTAGACTAGACTTTAGACTAGACTATAGACTAGACTAGATTTGTAACTTTATAACTTTATAACTTTATAACTTTATAACTTTATAACTTTATAACTTTATAACTTTATAACTTTATAACTTTATAACTTTATAACTTTATAACGTTATAGCTTTATAACTTTATAATTTTATAACTTTATAACGTTATAGCTTTATAACTTTATAACCTTATAACTTGATTTTTATTAAAAATTTTAAATTTTTTCCATTTTTAAATTAAAAAATAAAACTTTAAAATATTGCTTATTATCTTTTTTCGTAATATGTACTCATAATATAATTTATTATTTTGTATTGAAATTTATCGATATTCATCCACACAATTATTAGTATTTTATGCAAATTATTTTTTTGTTTTATTTATTTTATTTTTGTTTTATTTCTTCATATCCCTGCCTTTTTTTGTATTATAAATACATTTTTTCCGCTTATAAAGTGGCCAATTTCCTGCAAATAATATTTCTTCTTTCAGCCTGAAACAAAAAACAATGTTTAAATAGCGGTTATTAAAACAAAATTCCACCTACATTGAGTTTAATATTTCTTTCTTCTGCTCCAGCTGTTTAGTTATAATGAAATACAAAAACGAAAAAAAAAAAAATAAAATAATCTTTTTGCAGTTTTATGAATTTCATTTGAATAAAAAATGTATATAAATTGTGCCATATATTAGTTGTTGTTGATGTGGAATTTATTCTCTTTATTTTACTTTATTTTAAAAGAATGAAAGATTCTGTTAAACACAGTTTTTCTGTTATGTTGCTTCTCTAAATTGTGCGTATTTCCTTGTAATTTTCATGTTACAACAAATGCCGGATGCTTTTTATTCTAGAGGAAAACACCTTTTAGTTTAGTGGCTGTATCTTTGGCACTTTGCGTTGAAGGTAAATAAAATGGCATGTTGATGAACGACAGTGGTTTAGAAAAGACATATGTATATCGGTTGAGAAAATCTTTTATTCCATAAAAACAAAGTGTGTTCGCTAGCTGAACAAAATGGTCCTACGAGCCGAATAGTTTATAGTATTAAACTTTTTAATGAATAATTGTGGTCCTTCAAACTCCTCACAAATCCGTAGAATAAAAAATGAAAAAAAGGATTTTTTAAATTTATTAAATTTGAGCGTTGTGTTTATAGCATTTACATGGTCCTTCGAGCCGTTCAATTGTCACCCGTTTTCCTTCTTCATTACCACCGTTCACTTTGCACAATCTCTAGTGAATTTTACTTTTGTTATAACACGGTCTGTCCACAATAAGACTATGTATGTATACCTATGTATATATGAGATTTCAGTAAAACACAAGCGGGACTTAGAAGATACATTTCCTGAAGCAGCAAAGGAACCTAAAGTAAACAACAACAACAACAACTGTAAAAGAAAGAAGAAATTGCTTATTACCGTTGTTAAAACACCAACAAACACCTAAATTATTTATAAGAGTTGTTGGCTGAATGTCATGGCGAATGATACCAGAGGCAGAGAAAAAGAAAACAAAAAACTAGTGACGCATTTCCTTTTCCAAATCAGTATATTCCAGTGAAAACCTTTTACATGGTTTCTCTGCTTCTTCACCCGTTGCCATAAGTGGCAGGAAGGTTTGTTTCAGGTTTATTGTTTTTTGTAGGATTCCTTTGTTTTTAAAGATAGAAGACTATTATACTTTTAAGATAAACAAGGTAAATCAAATGAATAAGCATCTTTTGTAGGTAGATATTATAGTAAAGAAGAAGTTTGGTAGATGCCATATGAGGATGTAATTGTGAGTTTTTGTTTTCGTTTTTTTTTTTTTATAAATAGATACAGCTATAGAAAGGAAACTAGTTTAGTTTTAAACCATTTTAGGGAGAATTTATTAAATAAAGGAAAGAATTGATATCAAATAAGGTAATAGTTAAGCATAGCCGACTTTATGATAACCTTCATCAGTTCATTATGTATCGTTACCGCTAATTAACATTAAAAATTTTTAACTAAAAACATATGTATATGCTTTATAGACTAGACTATAGACTAGACTATAGACTAGACTATAGACTAGATATAGACTACACAATAGACTAGACTATCGACTAGACTATAGACTAGACTATAGACTACACTATGGACTACACTATAGACTAGGCTAGACTATAGACTAGGCTAGACTATAGACTAGGCTAGACTATAGATTAGGCTAGACTATAGACTAGGCTAAACTATAGACTATACTATAGACTAGACTATGGACTAGACTATAGACTAAACTATAGACTAGACTATAGACTAGACTATAGACTAGACTATGGACTAGACTATAGACTAGAGTATAGACTAGACTATAGACTAGAGTATTGACTAGACTATAGACTAGACTATAGACTAGACTATAGACTAGACTATGGACTAGACTATAGACTAGACTATAGACTAGATTATAGACTAGACTATAGACTAGACTATAGACTAGACTATAGACTAGACTATAGACTAGACTATAGACTAGACTATAGACTAGTCTATAGACTAGACTATAGACTAGACTATAGACTAGACTATAGACTAGACTATAGACTAGACTATAGACTAGACTATAGACTAGAATATTGACTAGACTATAGACTAGTCTATAGACTAGACTATAGACTAGACTATAGACTACACTATAGACTACACTATAGACTACACTATAGACTAGACTATAGACTAGACTATAGACTAGACTATAGACTAGACTATAGACTAGACTATAAACTAGACTATAGACTAGACTATAGACTAGACTATAGACTAGACTATAGACTAGACTATAGACTAGACTATAGACTAGACTATAGACTAGACTAGAATAGACTATAGACTAGACTATAGACTATAGACTATAGACTAGACTATAGACTAGACTATAGACTAGACTATAGACTAGACTACACTATAGACTAGACTATAGACTAGACTATAGACTAGACTAGACTAGACTAGACTAGACTATAGACTAGACTATAGACTAGACTATAGACTAGACTATAGACTAGACTATAGACTAGACTATAGACTAGACTATAGACTAGACTATAGACTAGACTATAGACTAGACTATAGACTAGACTATAGACTAGACTATAGACTAGACTATAGACTAGACTATAGACTAGACTATAGACTAGACTATAGACTAGACTATAGACTAGACTATAGACTAGACTATAGACTAGACTATAGACTAGACTATAGGCTAGACTATAGACTAGACTATAGACTAGACTATAGACTAGACTATAGACTAGAATAGACTATAGACTAGACTATAGACTAGAATAGACTATAGACTAGACTATAGACTAGAATAGACTATAGACTAGTAGATACGAACTATAGACTAGACTATAGACTAGACTATAGACTAGAATAGACTAGACTAGGACTATAGACTAGACATAGACTAGGACTTTAGACTAGACTATAGACTAGACTATAGACTAGACTATAGACTAGACTATAGACTAGACTATAGACATAGGACTATAGAATAGACTATAGACTAGACTATAGACTTAGACTAGAATAGACTATAGACTAGACTATAGACTAGACTATAGACTAGACTATAGACTAGACTATAGACTAGACTATAGACTAGACTATAGACTAGGACTATAGACTAGACTATAGACTAGACTATAGACTAGACTATAGACTAGACTATAGACTAGACTATAGACTAGACTATAGACTAGACTATAGACTAGACTATAGACTAGACTATAGACTAGACTATAGACTAGACTATAGACTAGACTATAGACTAGACATAGACTAGACTATAGACTAGACTATAGACTAGACTATAGACTTAGAATAGACTATAGACTAGACTAGACTATAGACTAGACTATAGACTAGACTATAGACTAGACTATAGACTAGACTATAGACTAGACTATAGACTAGACTATAGACTAGACTAGACTAGACTATAGACTATAGACTAGACTATAGACTAGACTATAGACTAGACT